AAAAAAAATTGTGCTGAAAGAAGTGGCTGAATACCTCAGCCTAGTAGCTTTCATCAATGTTCTAATCTGGATGGTAGCCGAATCTGGTCAAAATATCCAGTTCTTAACCTGAATGTTAGTCTACATCAAGTTGTTGATTGTGACTAGTTGTGAGATTGTTATCAGTGTGCTGTAGTGTTGCCTTGACAGCAGTATTTGGTTGGTGACTGAGAGTTCAGCATTACAGATAGCAGTGGGGGACATAATGGCAGCAATGGGAGATGGTTCTAGTGACCAGAAACTGAGTGTGATGATCCCCTCCGATTATTTGGGTGTGCAGATGACCTCCATTAAACTTAATGGTGAGAATTATGTGCAATGGGCCAAGTTAGTGGAAGTTTTCCTCAAGGCAAAGAGGAAAGTGAAACACGTGAAGGAAGATAAACCATCAGCTGACTCTCTAGGGTTTGATGACTGGGAACAGGAAGATGCCCAAATCATGACATGGTCATAGAATAGTATGGAACCCAAAATAGTGCCAACTTTATGTTCTTACATACAACTAAGGACATATGGGAACATGCCAAGAAGCTTTATTCTGGGTAGGATAATACTACAAGGGTATATCAGCTCTATCAGGAGTATTTCGATCTGCAGCAAGGGAATAAAACTCTAGAAGAGTACTATGCCAGTATGAAGAACCTCATAAATGAACTCGATGTCTATCATCCCCTCACTCCAGATGTTAAGGTTCAGCAACAACAGAGGGAACAACTAGATGTCACTAGGTTCTTTGTGGGGTTGAAATCAGAACATGAACTAGTTAGGGCCCAAATATTGGGAGGCTCACTCTTCCTACACTTGAGGAAGTTTTTGCACGGCTTCGTAGGATTTCTTTGGGATCTACAGAGAATCCCACACAGTCTGACAAATCAACATTTGTGATAGCCAGAGGAGGTGGACATGGTACTAGAGGGGGAGGACATGCCTCCCAAGGAGGTCGTGGTGCTTTCGTATTTGGCTGTGGTGGTGGTCGTGACTCAGGGGGAGGCTGTGGTAAAGGAAAAAGTAACTCTACAAGGAAGTGTACCCATTGTGGCAGGGACGAACATTCGGTGAATTTCTATTATGATCTCCATGGCCCTCCTACATGGGCTAATCATGCAGTAGCTGGTGGGGCTGATGTCAGTGATAACCAACAGGCAGATCTAACACCTTCCACATCTACATTTGTTTCCGGGAAGGATATGGTGAGTGTACCGCGCGATGAGTATGAGAGGTTCCTCCAGGCTACTTCACAGCATACTACAGCCACCCTTGCCCACTCAGGTATAGCTTGTCTGGCATCCAAACCCTCTCCCTGGATTATTGACTTTGGAGCCTCTGATCACATGACCAGGACTCCAGGTGTGTTTTCTTCCCTCTCTGAAACTTCCACATCTCAAACTGTTACCCTTGCCAACGGTTCCTCTTCTCCCATCTGTGATGTTGGTAATGTTGACACGACTTCTCTTTCTTTATCATTTGTTCTATATGTCCCTAAGTTTCCATTCAATCTTATGTCTGTTAGTAAATTAACCATGACTCTTAATTGCTCTATTACATTTTTCCCTTCCTTTTGTGTTTTTCAGGATCTCAGGACGGGGAAGAAGATTGGTGGGGGGCATGAGGCTGGTGGATTGTATTACCTTGACGGTGGTGGATYGTCAGTTGCACTTCAGACTTCACTCACTCCTCTACAGTGGCATTGTCGACTAGAACATCCATCTCTCAAGGCACTCAAGATACTGGTTCCATCTTTGAGTCGTTTGTTGTCTTTATAGTGTGAGTCGTGTCTGTTAGATAGTGTATGCCCTTAGCTCCAATAAGAATGATGTACATTATGACATTTAATGTAAATGAATAAAGTACATATTTGATTCGTGTTATTATGGTGTGTTTCTGTATAATGCCCTTAAACTGGACACATATGAGAC